CATTTGAAAGAAATTTGGTGAGAACAAAAATAACAACTCCCTCCCCCCAAATAAAAAACAATAAAGATGAAAAACAAAGTATGCAGACTAAAAACATTTGATGTGGTAGTCATGAAAGGACCACATTTGACAAGTTATTATCTATTCATGACGTCAGGATAAAATATACCCCCCCCCCAAACCCCGACTGATGAAACAAAAATCATCAAATAAATAGTGTAAATAACATTTTCTTTACCATGCATTAGCACCTAAAAATATAGGATTTGTATGAACATAAGGGACCGTGCACATATTATCTGACGCGAAAGGGGTAGGAGTGGTTTATCATTTTGTAAAATTGTTATAGCCTATATATGGTGGGATGGTCGAGAGCACGGTTTATTATAAATTTTGTATGAATTCTTATTTTGCTAAATGTTTGCTTTTTCAAATATAAGAAATTAACCTAGATCATTAAGCAACAAACTAAAATATTATTTTTTTCATACAATAATTACCAATTTTATGGTTAAAATTTTCTTTTTTCTTCTAATTTATTCGATTTTATTGAGGTGGGCCATGGTTGCTTGGAGTGTTATATAATGGTATAAGGAGTATGGGTTGGAAAAAAAAGTGTCATATTTTTGTGTTATATTATGTCTGCACTGCCCCCCCCCAAACCATGTTAAGGGACACCTTAGTTTTCATTAGCATACCATTTTTGTCCCCTTTTACCTTTGAATGATGCAAAAAGTAATTCCTCATTCTGCACTAAATCGGAGCATTTAAAAAAAAAATGTCGCCGAGTTTGCACCCAGGTGCCATATCTTGTCACACCTTCAGTATGCTACTGATGTTGATACAAGTATAGGTTAGAAGCCCAAGAGAATCGCATTTACGCATTGTTATTCATCAGAACCAAACAAGTTCAAAAGTAAGACCCCCACAGAGTTACAGGGCTAATTAGGAGATGGAGCAACATACATTTTTAAATTGAAAATCTGAAAGCAAAATATATGTTATAATAGTTTTTCTAAGTGAATTTGATTAAAATTAAAGTAATGTGTTGTTAAATGACTTGGCGATTGGAAAGATAAACGGAATATCATCAAAATGTGTATCAAACGTTGTGAATAGCGCATTTAAGCTGAAAGTTACTCAAATGCAACTTGTGAATACTTGGGATTTACTACCAGCTATTTAATCATGAACTTTTGTACAGATTAGCGGGGGTATTGAATTTTACTTTTAATTTTGTTAAAGTGTCTGTTAATTGTTCAAATAAATGTGGATGCATTAATTATCACATCACCGTCTTAAAATGTATGTCACGTGGTACGTGACGCAAAATATAAGAAGCCAAGAGTTGCATCCCTCGAGGTTCTACCATCCGGGTATTTGACAAGGTTAGAGTCTCCTTGCTAGTAGAAGTGTTCGGAATTAAGTGAAAAGATGGAGAAACCAACATTCTCTCAACGTATGAAATCTTTAGGTTTATTTCTCTGGAATGGGGAAACTAAGGAATTTTTAGGCAGAGGAGGAAGAAGCTGGGGTGAGTATATTACGTAGGGTTTGAGGATGATATAGTAAAAAAATGCAATTATTAACATTACAGTCATGACTATACTTTAACTATTTAAATTTGTGTAAAATAGCGTAGCCTAGCAATAAAAATATCACGTTCGGTAAATTGTCGTTTTAGCGAATTTATTAACATTGTTGAAATCATAAAAAATTATTTTAAAATAGAGTAGAGTTGAACGCAGTACATAGCAAACTTCAAATAAGTATCTAGCTTTAGAACTTTTTGAGCTATATCTATGAATTTTTTAAAGTCCTAGCTCCTGCCTTGGGTATTTTTACTTTAACTTTGGAATGCATTTGCACCCCAATTATGGATGTTATGTCAAGTCCAAGGCGCCTGTATTATAATTATAGGGAAAGTGTTTTTTTTAAAAACTACTTACAGGAAAATAGGAATCAAAAGATTAAAATTTAATGTTCCCCCCCCCCCCCTTTCCTGGCGTAATTTCAGCTGGTATATTAATTTTGTGGTGAACGCAGCAACTCGGGCAACTCAGACAAAGTGTTTTTTTTAAAAACTAATTAAAGGAAAATAGGAATCAAAAAATTAAAATTTAATTTTCCCCCCCCCCCCCCTTTCCTGGCGTAATTTCAGCTGGTATATTAATTTTGTGGTGAACGCAGCAACTCGGGCAACTCAGACTGTATTGTATCCATTTAGACAACAATCATCCCTCAACTTACACACATTTGCTATAAAATTTAGCCCCATTTTAAATATAAACAGCCCAATGAAATATTAATTTACAACATTCCATCAGGGTTGTTAATAAATAAAAAAGAAACATTAATTTAGCTACTAACAATAAAAGAATTAACGAAAGTCACGGTGTGAAGCGTACATTATCCAATAAGTAAGTCTTTCAATTGAGTTACCTTATGTAAGTAGACACACAAAATTTATTTGCAATCACCACACTAAATTTGAGCTTTGTTACCCGTATCTTGAAAATTAATTTTATTCCCTGGTTAATAATTGAATTCGCTAAAAGGACAGTGAATATTTTTTAAAATTTTACCAGGAGTATTGATAAAACGATACTTATGACCTAATTTATAGAAGTTTTTTTTATATGATACTTAAAAATTATGTTAATTTCAATGTTAAAAATGTGCTTCATACTTGATGTATTAATTATATAATTAACATCCAATGATTACTAAGCCTAACTGAACTACTGGTACTTGTACTGTTGATAATAACTAGACTTTCTAGAATACTTGGAACTAATGAATAAGCTCACTCTTAAGTCTTTACTTATACTACTTATCAATCACCAAATTATAGTGATAGGCCTGCTTTACTTACATTTTTTATTGACGGGGATTGAAATGTCCATTATTTTTCTTGTCTTACCAACATAACTCAAAAACTGCTAATAATTTATTAATAAACTAATTAGCCTATAAACTAATAGTAATAGAATATAGTAAATAATATACTAATCAAAATGACATAACATAACAAATTGGCCTATAAATAAGTAGGCATTGTTAAGTTAGTATTACAATATAGTACATATGGTACTGCATTTGAGAAGTTTGGATAGTCCATAAAGTTTTCTTCAGGAAGGCCTATTCAAATCATCAAAAGACTCTACTAGTCTTAAGTTGAATTTATTATATATGTCTTGTTTTGTCTTTTTCATCTCTGCAAGGCAGTGAAGCGGCCCTGGCTCTACTGCCGAGCTGCTTAAGCTAAACATGATTAAAAGACACAAATTATGTGTGAATATGAGTAATGAAGCGTTATTTTTTTACAATTCTGAGTGTTTCAGTTGAAGAAAGTAATATCAAAATAAAATGTTCAGCAGACTTGTATAGGTTCACCTCAGAGGCTTAGCGAAAGGGGGGGGGGCATGTCCCCCGGGCGCCAGCTAGTTAGGGGCACCAAATTGTGCTTTGATTTTATTTTATTGGTGAAAATAATGGGTTTGAGAGTTTAAAAAAAAAGGGGGGGGGGGGGTTTGAAATGAATTTTGTTTCTGGTCGGGAAATTTTTCCCAAAATTGTGCTTTGATTTTATTTTATTGGTGAAAATAATGGGTTTGAGAGTTTAAAAAAAAAGGGGGGGGGGGGCTTTGAAATGAATCTTGTCTCTGGTCGCGAAATTTATCCCAGGTTGCCACTCTCGCTATGCCTCTGGTTCACCCCCTATGATGTAGGTATGTTTTATTTATATCTCAGCAGAAAAGATAGTGTTTTATTTCTCATAATCTTCATAAAGCCTTGCCATACTTTTTTGTGTCTTTTAATATAAGTTTTATCTCAGTCCAACCCTTTCCATTGGTTTCCTATTTTTTTACTTCTTGTTTGTTGTATCTATGTCATGTAAAGTAGGTATGCTACCTTTAGCTGCACCAAAAAAGTATACTTTGCAATTATTGAACAAAAGTTTTCAAGATCAAATTTCTAGTTCATATTTTTCTACAAATTTATCTTTTTTAAGAATATTCCATAGAATCCTTGTATTGTTTTCTTAACAAATTAGGAATATATTTTTAAAAAGGAATGTGTTCTGCCAAAATATAAAAGACCGTCATTTAGTTTTTAATAGAGTATAAGCTTGCTGCTTTTCTACTGCCACTTGTTTAGAATAGTATGAATCTTGTTTTCAGAACTAGTGACCAATGGTGCTAATGCGCACAATAAAAATAACACCGACATTTAAAAACCAAAATTGTATGTCTGAAGAAATGTAATATAAGTATTGTGATGTTCCCCAAGTCTATGTGTACTTGATGTATAATTGTGTAAGAGCTTTGTTTTGAAATGTGAAATCTTCTCAAATTCAAGATGTTAAAACCATCTGGACTTAATCATAAAACATGGCAAGCATAATCTCTAATCTGATTAGTGGATTTTTGTCATTTTAATAACTTAAATCATTTTCAGGTTGTGGAATTGTTTTGTGCAACCCTTGTATACACAAAGCGATATATCCATAACATATGGTGTTTTACATCCTGTACACTGTATTTTTACTACCTGCATATCATTTAATGTTAGCACACAGGTTGTATTTGTTCTGTTTTGGTTAATTTTTTATAACTCATTTGCAAATTCAAGTGGACAAATGATCCATTAACTTATGTGAGGAACTTAAATTTGCAGATGTGCATGACACAATTTTATTTGATATAAGTGTAAGACTTGTTGTCCCCCACATCTTAAAATTCTTTTCTTAAGACTAAGCTATTTGCTTTTGCTTCAAATTTTCATAATAAATTTGATTTTCAGATTTTTTTATCAAACACTTCCACAATTGCCTGGAACCAGATGGTCACTTTTTTAAAGTTCTTTTATACCTCAGTTGAAAACGCTTTCTCTTGTGAAGAAATAATAAAGTCTGTTGGTTTCCAATCACCTGAAAAGGTTTAAAGTAGTTTCCGAAACTGATTTTTGTTTTTCATTTAAAGAAAATCAGCTGGGAAGCTTAACTTCATTTCTGCTGTTTCCGTTGCACTCCGGTATTTCTTTTGTGATTGCACAATTTTTTGAGAGGTGAGTAACTTTTGTGATGTTTTCTTTTCATTTGTAAATTCCCATCACATTTTTTTCAATTTGAGAGTTTTTTATCACCGAATGTTTTTCCATTTTTATATTCTAATTAATAATGACTTACATTTAATTTTACACAATTTTCTTAACGTTTTTACAGTTTCACATTCTTAATCTCTTAATTGCCATATTAGTGGGTTTTTTTTAATTTGCTTAGTGGGAAAGGCTTATTTGTAATTAAACAGTTAAAATGGACTAGGCATTTGTTTTGACACATCAAATTATGCCTTTTATACTAGAGAGGGGCTTATCAGGTAAAATTTCAAATTTTTACCCATTCCTCAGTCATGGCTTGCATTTGAGCATCTTATCTAGCTTTCCTGCTGACATTTTAATTTTCAAGTTTAAATAAATTTTTTAAATCTATTTATTGCCAAATGCTACTGGCTACCCCATATCCAGCCATTTAAAATTGTTGATTCTGGTAAAGATAAACAGGCTGTCAATATTTCAGAGTTAAAAAACTTGACACCCATGGGTCACCCATGTGAGTTTTTAAAAAGCCACCTTGCAGTGTCCCTGCTTGATGGTAATTAAGGGGTTAATTATATGCAACTACGATTTTTCTGCACTTAATTTTTAATGCAGCTGTTATAATTTTTGTCTTAACTGCTAACCATTTCATTTTTTATTAAAAAAAAAAAATAATACACTAAAACTGCTTCGCTGTAATAAATTTGCCTCTACATGGCTAACCATGTCATTCATGTTTTTTATAATCTTCTTCACCATATATTTTTAGATTTGCACATTTTAAATACGCTTTATGATATTACATATGCGCATAGTTCAAAATTAGATTGATCCAATTTTATCTAGGTTTTGGGAATACTCTCTTTTCTAGAGTTGGGTGTTGATATAATTTTTGAAAATTTTAAATATTTTTTCTTTTTAGAATTTATGGGGATTTAGTGTAGCAATGCTTTTTTAAATATTAAACTTTAATAAATTTGTTTGTTCCTTTTGCAATTTCCAGCTGAAATTGGTCTATTCTACTTGGTCTTTTATGCCTGTCTCAGTGGATTCTTCATTGCAACAATTGCTGTTTTCTATGAGACAATAGATGCAGATAACCCGAGGCTGCAAGGAGAAAGTAGCTTACTTAAAGGAAATCCTGGTAATTAGCACCTGTTATAATTTTCAAAGTATTTTAATTGTTGTACATTTACTAAGGTACAATACTGAATTATTTATGTGCATATGTTGCACAAATCATGTTAGTCTTATTAAAATTCAAATTCTTATTTATATCATCTTTAATATGAAATGGAAGGGAGTTTTAAAATTTTCAACTGATATTTTGAGATAATTTGATAATATATTCCAGGAATGGGTTATCAGCCAATGCCTGACATTGATACTACTCTGATATATGCAAGAACATCAGAAGAGGATACAAAGGCTTATGTGAAAAGTATCAACAAAGTGCTGGATGGTAATTGAGGCTTATTTTTTCATTGTTTTATTTACTGTAGTACCATATCTAAGATATTAATTCTATTCTTGTTGTTTTGACATAAAATCTTAGCCCTGAAAGTGAAATTATTCTGTGCACAAGGACTTAACTGTTTTATTTTACTTGATGTTACAGCTTATAAGAATGAAAGCCTTAATAGAGTTAACTGTAGCGACCTTACTCAACCAAGAACTGATAGTGATAAAGCTTGTAATTTTGACTTCGCTAATCTCACTCAAGAATGTAATGAGGAAAATGGTTATGGCTTTAAGCATGGTCAACCTTGCATTTTGCTTAAATTAAACAAGGTATGTAATCTAACTATTATCAGCTATGTCTTTGATATCTGCACTGGTAGATCAATTAGAGTTTTCCTTAGTGTAAATTAGTAGTAAAACATTGTTTTTTGTAAGATTTTTACCCTGGAGGAGGAATTAATAGTATTGAAATAAACAAACTTTTTATTGATAATTTTGATTTTGGTGTGTATTATGAAAACATTAAAGGGAAGGTAAAGTGGAGTACTTTTAGATGTTTCATTTTAGCCTATTAAATCATTTATTTCATTTAGATTTTTGGTTGGATACCATCTATTTGGGATGAAAAAGATGTCTCTGATGTACCGAAAGTTATCAAAGATGTGTATTTATCTGATCGAATTTGGGTGCAGTGTCATGGAGAGGTAAGAATTTAATTCATATGCTTAATAAATACTTTTATTTAATTGTTCCCAATAAGTCTGGTGCCTTATATAGAGACATTACATTTTAATAATAAATAATAAAATGTATTGAAATTGTGTAATTTATTTTCAGAATCCTGCTGATGAGGATAATTTAGGAGACAAAGATCAGATAAAATACTTTCCTCAACAAGGATTTCCATTGGGCTACTACCCATTCAAGAAACAGTTGGATTACCTACCCCCACTGATTTTTGTTAAATTCTCAAATGTTACACATTATACTGGAATCATGGTTGAATGCCAGGCTTTTGGCAAAAATATTGCACTTGACAGGTCAGAGAGACAAGGCAGTGTGCACTTTGAACTGTTGGTTGAGCCATCCAACAAGTAGTGTTCATAAAAATATTTTTCCCTAGTCTTTTCCAATTTTGCATTTTTCATTGTTATGGCATTTGACCCTAAAAGAATTGGTTTTATTTTTTGGGGTACTGTACCATTCATTTTTTTAAAAATGTGGGGGTATACTCTCAACAACTTTATCCCAGTTTCTAATCATCCTCAAAATATAAGAGTTTGTCGTGCTTTGCTAGTCTTAACATAGTGAATTTACTTTCTTCAACCATCTGCATCCTCGGAGGACCCCGTGTTATTTTATACTTTCTCCATTGTTTCTTGTGGAAGTCAACTCATAATACTTTTTGGTTTCTGAAACTATAATACAATGATTCAAACCTTGTTTGCACAAAGTATTTAATTTTTATTATTTTCATCAAGAAATAAAATCAATATAGTTGACATAAAAAGTGTAAATAATTTACTTTTTGCAAAAGAACACAGTCTAGATATTTATTATCTTAAGCTGATATGAGAGACATGAAAAAAATCAGCTATAACTAGTTTCTATAGTTATGACAGAATTGCAAACCAAAAACTGTCAAATGCAACAATGCTTAAGAACTCTTATTTATAGTAACCTTGATATGTACCACTAAAGTACTGAAAACTAATAGAAAATGAATCAAGAGACCATAAAACTTCTGATTCGTATTTATGATAGTTTTATTAGAGGCAGATGTTGTTGGTCCTTCGCCTACAAAAATGACCATGGCTATTTTAACGATGAGTGCGCTGGTGTCCCACTTTCCAGAATGTTGGACACTGTCTTAGTTTGATTAGAGATGATATCAAGGCAGTTTTTATTGGCTTTAGCACCTCATAAGATGCAGTAACCACAGATGACCGGGCTGTAATGAGTTTGTGGGTGAAGGGTTGAAACTCTAAAATGTCTTTGCTCACCCTAGTTCTGTTCATGTTCACTTTCTGTTTTAGGAGCATTGTTAAAACTCCACCATTGCAGTAATTTATCTTAGATAGCACTTCGGGATCTGATTTCTCTGCATTTCTGTCAATAGTGGTGTCACTTTATCATTGTACAGCTTAGATTGAGTTGAAGTTAAATTTTTTCAAGTTTGACCCTGTTTATCGCCATTGAATGTATGGAAGGAAGTGTTCTTTTTAACAAATATATATATGGTGGACAATAAACATTTGTTGATGATAAAATTTTGTATTAGTTCCAATTCAGTAAAAAAAACAAAAAAAAAAACCCTTAATTATCCCTGTCATTAATTTCACTGGCCGACATTATGTTCATCCTTTCAAGCTTTTTTTTTTTAATAGCCTTTGGACATTAACTGAATTTTATTTTGCATTTAACTTAACGATTTGATATTAGTCTCAATATTTCACAATGTTTGTAAATTTTTTATTTCATGTACAGATTTTTAAAAATCTTTCAAAACCTATGTATGCCTAGTTAAACTTCAAATGTTTTTTTATTACATATCTTATTCAGAATTTTAATCACAAAATAAATTGTTGTACTTTTTAATTTTAATGTACTTTTTATTTTTATTTTGGTGAAAAGTCATGGGTTATTGTTTTGGCTAGAATTAGCTTAAAATTTTTGAGGTATACCAGGGTTGAGCAAGCAATGAACATTTCATTGGATCAAAGAAGCTGCATGCATTAAACCCATCTATAAACAGTATATTAACGGAATGCATTATTAACGGAATGCATAGAATTGATGTAGCTTTAGTACCGGTACCTCATGTTTGTACATTGCATGGAAAGGGTTTTCTTATTGCAAGGATTGCCAAGCTATAGTCTGGGGCCAATTTTATTACCAATTTTAGATAATATACTATCTGAGATGTTTTGTGATTTTAAAAAAAAAATTTCACATGTGGGTGTCTATAACTTTTCATTCACATGTTGGTAACACAGGCATTATTCATTGGACCATGGGCCTCATAATAGGTTACTTGATTTCTCCTTATATTTTTATTACATATAACCCACGAACTGTTGTCGGCCTACAAAATTTGCCGACATTCTTGTTCTGTACTGTGGCGGCTGAAAAAACTTTCAATCCTATATTTAACCGGATTTATAGCTTACTTTTATTAATAATTAAATCATCTTCCGGTTCAAGCTGTTTCATGATAAATTGAAAATAAATACTTGTTAATCGGAGTTTTATATCGCCGTTTTTGTTTAAAGCCAAAATGGTTGAAGCCATGGCTGGGCCTTCAGTGCAAGAACTAATAGGAATATGTTTGAAAGCTTTTTAGGAGAGGATTTAGGTGATACTGATGATGATTTTACCTACTGATGATAATTTTAACATTCCCCATGACGATATCAGTAGTCTTAGTGATACTGAAGTAGGCCTACCGAGCCCCTGTTAGACTTCGAGCCAGGCCCGGGGGGGGGGGGGGGGGGCCAAGGACTGACTGAATTTTAGTCACAGAAGCTACAGAATATAGTTCAGAACTAATAAATTTTATAGTTAACAACCCAAATCAGTTCTACAGTTCCTTTTTAAATGTTTACTAGTCAATAACTATTTTGCCTGAGATTTTGTATTTTGATCTTGGTTTTAGCAGTGGTCCCGGTTTCTTATCTAAATGACCTAAAATTACTAAAAATTGCTTTCAGAGGTTTAATTGCAATCAAAACCTTAGCAAACTATACATTTCATTTAGATTTTTGTTTTAAGTGTATCTATAAAAATTAATTATGTCATGAGCACTTGAAAGCAAGACATTTTGTCAATTTTTTTTCTTGAGAACTCCAAGGTCAAGGACACTGAGCAATATTTTTTTACGGGGTGGGCAATTTGGCCAACTTTATCCCCATCCATTTCCCTTTCTAAAAATATATACTTATAGGGGTCTTGTATCAATATTTCTGTCATTTAATGCAATTTCAAATGGCACTCAAAACGCTTTGAAAAGCTCCACACCACAGAATGATGCATGCCATAGTTCGTGAGTTAACATCAATCGTAAAGAAACTTTAACCGCTCAAAACACCGATAATTAAAATATTGAAAAATTAGGACTACGAGGAACCTGTCCCAAAACTGCAATTCATTGCCTTGTTCCATTTTAAATGACCCCATGATAAAAGGTCAGAAAATTGGCAAAACAAATAAAGAATTATACAATCCATTCAAGTTCCTTCTAGAAATGATTTTTGCTCTGGGCCAAAATAAACCACACTAAAAAAAAGCTCTCATTTTTTAATGTAGCTGAAATTGGTCTTTTCTACTTGGTATACTACGCTTGTCTGGCTGGATTCTTTGCCGCCACCATTGCTGTTTTTTATGAGACCATTGATGCAGACAACCCAAGATTGCAAGGAGACAGTAGCTTATTGAAAGGAAATCCTGGTAAGTTATTTCATTCTATATGACAAACTGTTAACTCATGATGAAACTTGTATTCCTTTTTTCATCTTCTCTGCTAATTTTATCAGCAATTGAACAATAGCTTATTGTTTTTCAATATTGAAGGCTATGACACACTTGGATTACTCATATACTTGTAGGTATGGGCTTTCAACCTATGCCAGACATAGAAACGACTCTTGTTTATTCAAGAAAGGATCCAGCCAAGAATAAGGATTATGTCAAGAGCATATCTAAAGTACTCAAAGGTAAAAGGTTATCCTTACATGTTTCTAGAATCGACCATTTTATATTTGCTATATTGGTGATTTTTGTCCTTGATTACCTTTGCATTGAAATGGTTGTATATAAGGTATAATTCTTCATGATTTATTTCAGCGTACAAAGAGGACAATTTAGGAGTCGACTGTAGCGGTATATCTACCCCTCGGGTTGATGAATCCATAGCGTGTAAAGTTAACTTCTCTGCCCTTACTGAAAACTGCAATGAAGCCAATGCTTTTGGAATGAATGAAGGGAAACCTTGTGTCCTCCTGAAGTTAAATAAGGTATGTGGATAATATATGAATTTAACCCTATAAATGTTATAATGGCTAATGATCTGCCATTAAATCCCTCTGTGTGGTTTCACGGTCGATATAATTGCCGCTAGCAAAATCATCATTTAATCTGCTAATCATTTATGGTATGTTAAGGGGATATCATTCTATGTAAAACGAGTTTACTTCCTATTTACATTTAAATCTTGTGTTTACATGCTTTTATCAGGGCTGCTTTTTTGTTTGTGATGAAAATGAAAGCAATAATTTCATAGATATTCCACATGCTTATAGTGACAGGATTAGCTCTAGCCGTGATAGGTTTATAAGAGTCAGATATTGACAGATTTAGCCCTAAGTTATGTCGTATTGCTACTCAAATTTGTTTGGGAAAGGGTGAAAATCTAACAAAAAAGATGAAGATTGGATCCAAAAGATCTACCCTAAAGAGATTCAAAGACCTTTATGTTTGTGTGTGTCCTCTAGTTTTAATTAATGAAAGATGGATTCAATTCAAATTAGGGATTTTTTAACTCATTTCATACCTTCTTCCCTGGTATTATGTATGACAGAAATTTGGAGGTAGTTGATTTAAAAAATGACCAATATTAAAAATTTGAATATAAGTACCTATAACTTGACATTTTCTGAAAGAATATTGCTTCTAGTTCTAGTATCTCAAACGCTTGACAGTTTGGAGTATTAGATTGTGTTGAATTCAGACGTTGAGTAGTTAAATTGCACCTGTGCTCACTGTGTATATGTCAAAGTCTAAATTAAGATACATAACATAAAAACAAATTCTTGATATTCTTGTGGTAAATATCTTTTTTACTGTGCCTTCAGTAAATGTATACTTGTAAGACTCTCTGAATTCACATAGTATGGGATTTTGTCATTTTTGACAATAGTTGAAAATGCTAAACATGACTTGACACTACAAAAAATTAGCTTGACAGTTATAGGGTTCAGTAAAGAAAATATTATTTTCTTTCCCGTTTAGCACTTTTATCTATCAACTAAATTTTTCACAATTTTTTACCATAAGATTTATGGCTGGACTCCGCAAGTTTGGACAAAAGATGAGCTCAAGGATGTTGATATATCCGATCAAATAAAATCAATATACACAGATGATCGGATATGGATTGACTGCCACGGAGAAGTAAGTCTACTTTAGTGAATACGTTTATCTCTTTCAGAATAATTTCTCCAAGCCAGGGAGGCATTTGTATAGTCTGTAACGGTACATTTAATGATTGCTTTAGTGATTGCTAATTGTTAATTGGAGCAGATAAGATACAAATATCAAATTGTGAAATGATGCATTAAAATTAAACTAGCCTGGAGGTAAATATTGGACCACTTCTTACTATTCCTATAGTTGGATGTAGAAAGAATATTTTTTAAGCTGATATTGAAGACTTCCAAGTTTTGTTAAAATTTATTTGGAGCTTTTTATATTATTATATAAATGTTGTTCTTTTCCAGAACCCGGCTGATCTGGATAATTTGGGCGAACCTGGTGATATTGAATACTTTCCTCAACAAGGCTTTCCTCTCTCCTACTACCCGTACAGAAAACAAAAAGACTACCGTTCACCACTGGTGTTTGTCAAGTTTAACAACCCGACAAATTTCGTAGGAATCATGATTGAGTGCAAAGCCCTTGCCAAAAACATCAATGTGGACAGATCTGAGAAGGAGGGCAGTGTGCACTTTGAACTCTTAGTTGAGTAAGCCATGGAGTCCTGTGTCATCTAGAATGCTTAAATTGGTTTCTCGTCACTCATCACATTTTTAGTTTGTCTTTGAGTACTTGTCTCGGTGACTTTAACAAATAAATATTTATTTGCATCCTTTAATCTCTGAAATTCTTTTGAGGTTTTGAGGACTAAATTATTTCAGACTATTTGCCTAGAAAATCAAAAGTGAAGATGTTTTTGAATAATTAGATGTGTTACATCATACCAAGATATATATACATTTTACAATAGTACTAATTAATTTTTAACTGTTTTGTTCTAAAATGAGGTTAACTTTTTTTTTATTCATTATTTCTATAACACATTAGTAATCTTAAGGCTTATTTTGGCTAAGTTGTTGCTACCGATATGTCAGATGAGTGAGGCACCAGTTTGTAGAATTGCTAATTTCCACCTCTAACATGCATGACTTTATATGAGATTGCTGGTCAATCAGTTTTAAAACATCTGCTTAGTTAAGTCCCAGATTAGGCGTACAATAGTGCCTGTTATAATGAATGAAGTGAGGCTTTTTTTCCTTCTCTACACTAAAGTGACTGTTCTGCCCCCTGCCTAGAGTTTTAGGGGTTGAATTCAATTTTTTATACAAGTCCACAGCTGGACATAGATTTTAAAAGACATTATTTAGTTTGATAGCGTTTGTCGGTTTATTTCAACACTTGAATTGTAAAACTCAACATTCCCTAATTTATGTCTGTTGTTGGTTTTATTTGGTCCATACTTAAAACACATGAAATCTAGTGAATTGGTGAGAATCTCACTTGCAACTCATTATACCCACTTGCTATACACATTTGAGTGTTAGCCGTGTGCTCTAGGCTAGCACATTTTCATTCATCTTTTCTCTACAGTTGGATGTTCCTTAGAAACTATAACATGTTTAGTGACCAAATGATTGTCATAATGTCCACACACTGTTAGATATTGTTGAATAAGTTATAATCTTTTGACCATAATACACATTCATTAATCAGAGACAGAATTATTTTACACTGTACCTTTATTTTTCTGTGTACATTAAATAAAACCTTATTTAGAATGGTTCACTAAGTATTTAATTTAAAACGAATTGTTCACTTTTTTGCGTTTAAATATATTTTTTTAAATTAAAAAATCTGTCTTGATGTTTGTCAAAGATTATTTATAACTCATCTCCACAACAGATAGCAATTTTGCATAAAGGCATTACGTTCAAGCCGTACTCACTTTCATTTTTTTTTACCAAACATTTGTACATTTTTCACAGCTGTTTTGTCATAATACATTCTAGTATTTGCATGTCTGTATTATTTACCCTAGATTTCTGTTGTGCCAGTGCTGTAGGATGTTGTACGAGACATGGTGAATAGAATTGTATCTTATTTGAAGTGAATTTTATGATCTAAAGAGGATGAATCTTATCACTATAAGGCAGATGGTCAGGCCACTTATAAATGTTTTTTTTTTTAGTATTGAGGTCATACTCTATGCACATGTGTGTCTTTGTGAAAGTTGTTTTGTCTTTAGTGTCACTTTGTTTTCAAAAATGACACTTTTATGTAAGTAAATTTTTTTTTCAACCAAAGAGTAGATAAATATTGGTGAAGAAGTGTCAGAATCGCTGCATGTGATAATCTACATCATTAACACAAAGCAAATGAATACAACACAGATTTCTCATCTTTTTGGACCACGTGAACAAAGTGCGATGAAGAAATTTTAATGTAG